GTCGTGGCTTGAGAGCGTTGCAGACGTTTCTAGACGGGGAAGGAACAGCAGACGGGCGCAGGTGGTAACGGATACTGACGCGCTGCCTTCATGGCCAGCGCTTATGGGCGTTGCAGATAACAATAGATGATAGTGGAGTAGCAGACAATGCCGGAGGCTGCTGCGTGCCTGCTCACGCGACTAGATACCCCGGACGCATACCAGACGTCGTGATGGGGAGACACTAAGCTTGCGAGCGTGTTCGGCCGAGCAGCCAAGCCAATCCACTAGTAATGGGTGAGGCGACTGATCTGTGGGCGGGGCTTAGAGCAGGCCGTGATCTCCACCTCAATTTCGCCTAACAACCTAAACATTAAGCAAACAAAAAAAAAATAGAAAAAAAGTGTCCCATCTAGGCTTTTTAAAAATAAATTTATCTTAATTTCAGCCCCTTTAAGAGAGTGAAGCTGAAAACTGTTAATAAATTGTGTGAAATAACAAACACAATTAGCCTGCCTTGGGCTATACACTTCAGGCCACATGAATCACAATGTAACAGCTGACCTAAGGGGCAGTTTCCCTGGAAAAAGCAAACTGCCTGTCCAAATAAAATAAATTTTTAGTGCAGAGAAAGTCTCCTCCATGCCAACCTCAGCAGCAGGTACTGCAAGGCTACTTGTGCGAATGCCTATTAAGTTCTGAATAATGTTTCTTTTTCTCTTCTCACAACTGCAAAACACTGTAGTCTCGGCAGCAACAGTATTTTGTTCATAATTTCCAGCTTGTTATGTCATTTGGGCCCAGGGTACTCGTTCCTTGAAAGTGAATGCCAGTCTCAACTTCCCTTTCTTTGAAAAGTGTTTCCAAGGCTTCTTCTGGATGCAATACTGGAGCTGTTACCATTGCCATAACAGCTGCTATATCTTGCTTGTCTTGGAAAGCTGCAATTCTTTTCCAAGTTTTCGTTAAGTACTTTCTGAACTGGCACTTTTGGTAGCAGGAATCCATGCACTATGGGGCATGGATATAATGTGAACAGCAGATTCCATAGCCTTCCATACATGCTGCACTACCTAGATGTTCCTAGGAACTACTGAAACAGGGGGTGTGCAACCTACATACGACACCCCTTGTCGCAGCCCCCTCTCCACTCCGCAGCTTTATTGGCTCCTAGGAACCTCTAGGTTTATCAAAGCATGTATCAAAGGCCACGCAATCTAGTATGGTTTGTGCTGCCTGCCTGCTGCACTGCTGCACAAAAAAGGTCAGTTTCAACAAGTGGCTGATCCCTCTTCACTGAGTGAGCCAGAACCTTTGCCAAGGACAACAATATACTGGAAGTGTCCATGGAACATGCCAGTCACATGCCAAAGTCAGACATTGAGCTGCTCTTCTGCTATATGTCTTTGTTACCTCTTCTGCTGGCTGTAGCGATACTGCAAGCATTTCAACTTGCACTTACATGTTTTGTATCTGTAGGATTTCTTCCCTTGAAAGATAGCCTTTAGTGAAGCCTCTTAAATCAATTGATCCAGCGAGCATATGTAGCAAAGACATCTACAGAAACGGACAATAAATCACTGGCTTCTTCAAGTCTAGCTTTCAAATTAGATACATGACAATTTTGATTGCAGTTTCTTCACTAGTGGACAACAATCTTAGACAATACGACAGCAAACCGAGACTTTCAGAGAGCATAACTAAATGTCAGGTGCAGCATGTACACCTCATGCCTTGTAGCAAATTGGAATCACCAATACTTAAAGTTCTATAGACAACCCTGATAACTGACACCAAAAGTCTGTAGACTGAACTGATAATTGACACCAACGAGCTCGGAAGTCACATTTTCCACACCACTCGCTTTTGTTTGTTTGTTTTACTATCTAGTGGCGGTGTCAAACCCCATAGAAAGATAATGCCACGGCATATTGTTCTTTCTCATTTTGCCAGCGAATATGCCCAACATTAAAGCCGTTTGCCCTACTCTTCCGTCCGCTTTTTGCCAAGGCCTGGAGCCCTGCTTGGTTAGATGCAACAGTGCACTCTCAAGGTTAACTAGCAGCGAGCGGGAAGACACAACTTCAAAGTCACTACATTTGACTTCTTCATTGGCACCAGAGATATAGCATTTGTCATTAATTTCGGTGTGGACAGTAATAATGGTATTGGATTGGTGCAATTATCGTTTCAAAACAGTGTGAACCTGGCTGATGCTTTGCAGCAGAAAAATGGGTACTTATTATTTGAGGCCCAAGTTGTTCAGCCATCTCAAATAATTCCTTCAAGGGCAGTGGTTGGAGAATTAGCTGTTAGTAATTTCCTCCATACTGGATCGCACAACAAGTGGCATGGAATCTAGTTGCAAGGTGCAACTGAGCTTCAGGGAAAACATCTGGCAGTTAAGCATAGAAAATACTTGATTTTACTTAACCTTCCTGGACCCTGCCCTTAACAGCCACAGCAGTTACGGCATGTTGGGAATCCAAGGCTTTTAAAACAGAGTTAATGATTTTGCGAAAGTCATGGCCAAGCCGAGACAGTCCTTCGTTGTTTGTCATCGGCTCAACATAACATTTCATGATGGTCTTCTCAGTCCTTTAAGATGAAAATGCCTGCTTCATTGTCGGTTAGAGCATAATCTATACATTCACTTGCCTGAACTTCACGGCAGAGAGTGCTTTGTAAAGGAGGCTTTCTCAGAAAGCCACTTCCCTCATTCGTTAATGTAAAGCAGCTAATCGTGGCACCTCGATATAGAACCGCAACCGGCAGAGAGCGCACGCCAGCAGTTTTGAATTTGATATGCGGACTTGTTGAAGGCGATGTCACAGTTCTTCCTGGCAGTGCACAGCATGACCAAGAGGTGGTGGCACAGTCAACTACAGCGACTTGGACAAAACATGCTATTTTGAACATAAAATTTTATAGAAAAGTAGACAATAACTTGGGTAAGTGCGTCTCACACATTCAAAAGGCCTAGATCGAGGCTGCCAGTTCTGTTTTCTTTAGATGGATCAACATGCCCAATGTGCTTGTTTGAAACTAAAACCCAAGCAACACAAATTTGACATGAAGTGGACTTCAATTGCGATTGGTCATACAGAAAGCTGAGCTCAAGGATTCACAATGTCGTTTATATTTATTTCTTTAAACATTGCCGACTTGAAGTGATGTAATCAGGTTTTCACAACAACCGTTCGTATCACATACTCCTTTTGGCTCGGCTCCTTGGTCCTCTTTATTACCATTTTCAAACATTTTCGATTCATAAAATACTCGTACCAATGCCATCAGTATGACAGGGTGACCATATACAGTAAACTTTTTTTAGTTCTACCTCGGTTAATTCGACTTTTCATTTAATTCGATCATACTCAGAAGTCCCGGCGAGCGCCTATACATTTCTATGGGAGGAAAAGTTTGATAGTTTGAACTCGGGAAGACTCTGCATCGGATAATGCGTCTCGAGCAAACGCGAGCGGGCTCACATTGTACGGCACCACGGCAGAAAAACCACCCACGTACCACGAAACACGGGCCCTTTGCTGCAAAGATGAACGTGCGCAAATATGCGCCTCCTCCTCTACGCCGTTGAGATGGATTGTAGCGAATGACACGAGCCAGCACAACCAATCTGGTGTGGAGTAGCACGGAGAACATAGCCCGTGGTCGGGCACGGAGACAGTGCTCTGCAGCACGGAGACAGCGCTCAAAACGCTCTGTAGCACCGTGTGCAGTCCATCTTGCGCGCCAGAAAGCACCAGTTTTTTTTCCTTTCTTTTTTTATTTATTTATTTTTTTTTGTCGCCGACAGTTTGGCCGCCTGGCACCACAGTCGGCTCATAAAGCCTTCTCAGCGCGCGCTTTCCAAGCGCTTTTCTGAAGCATTGTGTGCGGTCCATCTCGCGCCGGAAAGTGCGGGTTCTCTTTTCCTATTTTTTTTTATGTTATTTTTCTCTGTCACCGATGGTCTGGCTGCCTGGTGCCAAACTAGGCAAGTAAAAGTTTCTTTTTTCTTTCTTCTTTTTTTGTAGAGCGAGATTTTTCGGGGACGTGATGTTTCGTTACGCTGTTCTCCGGAGCATGCTTTTGGACACGCGTTTTAAGCGCAGACGGCAGGAGACCATCCGTCAGTACTTTGGACAATAAAAGGAAGTTTAATTTTAACTGTGTTTTTGTCCTTTTTTTTAACTCGATCATTCGGATAATTCGACCAAATTTCAAGGTCCCGTCGAAGTCAAATTAACGAAAGTTTACTGTATTAAAGCCCCTTTATACTGAAAGTAATGCAAACCATCATACACTCTGCTTTCCTCCTTGCCAACATCCTCTTTCTTAAATATTTCGTTTTCTCCTCCAGGAACACCATTCTTGAGCACACCGGGAGAGGAAAGAACCAGACTTGTGCTTCGTCAGCATTCAGCGGAGATCCGTGTCACCATTGGGTGCAGACGGGTCTCTGGTGAACAGTGACACAGCGCTCCTGTTCAACCTGTCACCCTCACCTGTCACCCTCATAAGTGACATTGACAATTCAGCACTAAGGCTTTATCTAGGAAGTGTTGCCAGGTCGTGCTCAAAAAAGGCATCATCTGCTTGGGAAGAGGGGAAGGACAAAGAGAAGGAGCCGGTGTGTGAACAGAAGGTCCGCGTCACTTTTCCAGGTACATACAGGAGCGATATATTGTGTTTGTGACAACTGAAATGTGAAGCTCAACAATAACCAGTGTGAATAAAATGGGAACATAGGAACAAATGGCAGTGTTTTGTTAATTACCGGCGAGAAGGACTAATTCCGCAACTACAGAAATATGCCCACTGCGCATGACGTGTATGATGCTCCTACAAGGGTGATTACATACGGAACAAGGAAACTGCGACAAGTACTTTGTCCTCCTTTCTTTGTCTCTACCTTGGGTACGTCGAATTACAACAGCTCGCCAGCCAAGTAACGTTGTCCTCAAGTTCCTTAGATGCACCCCTCTATTACTATGAAAAACTCAGCTAGGTCTCGTGGCAATGCTTAAAAATTTAATAGCAGTCTCAATCTTTTCACACCCTCACACCAGAGTGTACGGAGCAAATGCAACAATAAGCAGCACTGAACTGTGTGCTCAGAAGTCCAAACCGACCAGATGAATGCATCCTTCCACGGTAAGGGGTGGCCTGTTCAGCAGCTCAGCAGGCGTTTACCCGGGCAATCTCCCCACTGTTTCTGGAAAAGGCAAGAGCAAGACTTTTTTTAAACATGAAATCCATATCACAGCAATTGTTTTAGCTCTCACTAATAAAAAAATAAGATAGAGATTGCTTATAAGGCATTAAAGGGAAGAAAAAAATGCATGTCTGATCTGAATTCATAGCTATGTAAAATGGGCGCAACAACTGCCCGTATAAAGTGAACTGAAAGAATATTTTGAGGGTTTAAGTGCCGAACCAATGGAAAGAATCTGGCATGCCCCAGCAAAGGGCAAAGGATTCTCATGCAGCTAAAATCTCAATTGCCTGCCACTTCTACAGGCATCTCAGCCAGGATGCCATTCTGTCAAATGGGAATGCATAAACTGACAGGCTGCTTAAAGCACTGAAGCTATAAAAACAAGTAAATTAATAACATTTCATGATTCCAAAGACCGCTTCAAAACGCGAAAGAAAAGCGAGTCAGGAAGCAGAGTTCATTTGAATTCATTTGGCCGAGATAATGCCCCAGAAAAGATGAAAAGTGAGAAAATTTGTGAGTTGTTTTTAGTCAGACAATTCCCATACTAACATAAAGCAAGATCATACTCTTGGTAACCACAGTTGGATGAGCTTCAGGAGACATAAAACACTCTTCCAAGCTCTGAGCAGCACTGAGAAAAGTCCCATATGCACCAGGTCAGACACTTTCCTGGGCTTAACGGCGACATGCTCCAGAATACTGCACAGAGCTTACAAAGTGTAGTAGAAGGATGCTGCATTTGGACTATCAAAATAGCAAGCAAAAATAATTAAAAATTACAAAAAAAAAGAAAATAAGGTAATTCTAATATATTGCAGACAAAAAAAGAAGATACAGTAATTCCTCGTTATAACGAAGTCAACAGGGCGGCAGAAAAATTTGATATAAGCAGTACTTCGATAAAAGCGATAGAGCCTAACAGCGCCAGCAGCCTTCGACGTGGACGGGAACACTGAGGAACACTCTGACTGTATATTTAATTAAACAAACCTTGGTTATGAACAACAAGCGGCAGCTTCACAGAGTAAAAAACTAAGTAAGTGGAGTTTGCCGATAGCTTCATCCGGGCATCAGTTCTTTTCGAACTGCTCTGGGCATCACAAGAACACTGTCACCGCCGCTGCACCTAACTTTGTTTGGAAGCACCGTAGGATGTTTTGCGTCTCCGCAGTCGTCGGCGTCTCCTGAGGTGCCTTTCTGTCGTCGTTTCGTGTTTACGAAACGATGACAGAAAGGCATAAACCCCTGCATGCAACACGGCGTGCGTTGCACTCTGGGAACTAGTTGGCCAGGGAGGAGAGTGGCATGGTTTCGGTTTCGATCGACATGTCGACAAGAGATTATACACAGAACGTGACATGTTCTCTGGTCCCGAGAGCGTCATTCTAATTGGTCTCTAAACTAACCTAAATGGCCAGACCTCGAAGCTATAGCACAAGCCGAAGATGTATAGCTTGTCTTAACACATGCTTGTTGTATTTTTGTACTCGAGCCTTTTTGTTAGCGTTTTGAGATATGTGAACGAGCCAGTGCTGAGAATCGCGAATCTGTGAAGCTCGCGAATCTGTGAAGCTCGGGGATCTTGCTTGTGTACGAGTCAACAAGCTAGCTGTTACAACCAATAAGTATGCATACATCGAGCTCGCACCTTTACATTAGTGTTGCTGGTCAGGAAGTTTGTTTGTTTTGTGCGTCCATACACGAAATATAACTTTTTGCAATTACTATTTTTCTTAATACGCCTGAGTACGCGAGGTAAAACTCGGAAGCGCCATTGAAAAGCTCAATTGGAACACACTTCTTATCTCTTATCTGTACTGACCCGCAGCACTGCACAAAGTGAAGTCCCACCCGCTTGCATTCCATAATATCCAACATTGCGTATGTGCATAAAGTTATCCTGCAATCATATAGGCACATTTGCACATACAAACCTTTTTAAGAAAGCAAAAGTCGAGCACTTGTGTGAAAAATGTCGCACCGTTCGCCGGAAGTGCGCCGGGCAGGCGTGAGCCCCTATGCGGTGCGCCAAACGAACGAAATTATTCAAAGCTCATTTGACGGTTGCTAAAGGCCATAATATTTGTTATGTGTTTGCTTTCTTCCTGACTGAGTATGCCAAAATAATTTCAGACACACCGTTCAGACACAGATCTTGGGCGACAGAAAAAGCTTATCCAAAAAGGCTTAGCAAGGAGTAGGGGACACTTGTTAGGGCCTCCGTCGTAGCTAGCCGATCTCAGCGTTTGCAAAAACTTAATCTCCTATCAGTATAAAATTTAAGTGGGAGATATATGATGATGCGAGGAAAACATCATAGTAACTTTTGTGCATGAGGTCGAATTTACTGCGTTTCCTTAACAGTTCATGCTTCAACACTGGCCTCAACTTTGATACTCCTGTGAGGATGCCGCTTGCTTTTCGTCCAGCGAAGCAACAAGAAGCGGACGTTTGGAAACATACTACGTGTAAGGCTCAAGGTGACCAAAATTCAGTTGTAGTTCACTGGTATTAGACGGGATTATTGAAATTGAGCTCAAAGATGCACTCGTAGGTGAGGTACTAAGCCACGTCTTACTACGTTTGCACACGTGCGCACAATATCCGGTGTTTTGGGAACCAAGGAAAGTGCCCCAGTCTTCGTTTTGTATGGCTCGATAATGAGTTTATTGTACATTCGTGAAAAGTCACATAATTGAAGACGCATTCGATCAGAGTATGATAGCATGAAATGAAGCTGCTCAATGGAAACCGAAACTGAGTGGCCAACTAGTTCCTAGAGTGCACTGCGGGGTGTTTCGCCGCGATGGTGTGCTTCGATTTTGGAAGAAGTCTATTGCAGCACCGGTGGCAGGAGCAACAATGGGAACGTCCGCATCAACAAGCGAGAACGAATGAGGTAGTATTGTTGGTGCTTCACCGACATGTTTCACGCATTTCTGTAGAGACCGTTGCAGCTCTAGGAATCGTGTGCTGGCTCAGCAAGCATACTCGCAAAGGAAACTCCGACGATCGCAAAGCAGTTGGCAATCTTTCATCTTCGGGTCGCGGGGGTGCTTTCTCTAGCTTGCATGAGAAACTTCTTGCACCTGTCCATTACCTTGCTTGTTCTGCAAAATGGTGGACAGTGTTGAACAGCCGATGTCAGAATGTCAAAATCTTCGGCGATTTCAGACTTAGGCCGGCCACTTTCTGAACCTTGCAGATCTACTGTATTTACTCACATATTGAACACACTTTTTTTCCCGAAAAATTGACGCATATTTGTTGGGCGTTCATTAAACGGGGTAAAATTTTTGCATTTACACACTTCGTGCAAATGTTATATTAGGTACCAATATGACACGGCAAGGTACTGTGGCACGTCTCCAGTGATGGAGGCGCACCCACAGCTTGTCGGGGGCATGCCACAATAACTATGCTTTAAAATTGCAAACCTTTTTACGGCACTTTCGGAGTGCCTTTTGCCAAAGGAAAAGCGCCCTACGAAGCTCACTCGGCAAGAAAAGCAACACGACCATTCTTAGGCGATATATATTGTTAGTATCCGGCGAGCACACTCAGGTATATCCGCGACTACGCGTATAAGAACTCGTACGAAGTCCAACCCCCGACCACGGAAGCCCGCTCGCACGGATCACGTTTCGTTCACGGAGAAGCTACCAGACACTCTCAGCCTACAGCGCAGCATGCACCTCGCTGTGCCGTTCTGTTATGGATTAAATAAACGCATTTACCCGGAGTATGTAAAATTAGGCCTAACCACTTTCACGATTTCACTGTCCGAAAGCGGACCACAGACGACGGCTTGTTCGTTGACACCAACGCATACGATAGGTGAAGAATGTTCGGGGATCGGCAATTCCTCGACTCGAGCTTCGTCAAGTGCGCACGACACTCGGTTTCACGGTTGATCACTTTTTCAACTACGCACTTGCGGCCATTACGAGAGCGGCTTGGCTTGGCTTGACTTCGCCTGACCGCTTGGCGGCAGAAGAAAACTGGCTTGGTGGCTTGCTAAATTGGACGCAATTCGAGACTCGCGGATACGAAAATTGGAGGTGCCTTGATTACGGGACGGAAAAAAAAAAGTTAAAATATTGATGCTCGTTGGGGTGGGAGCATTTATTATGCGAGTAAATACGGTAAGCGACTTTCGGTAAGCTCTCCCACTTCCATATGACGCACATGTGCATGTAGCATGTGGTACACCGCAGGCACATGCGTGCAAGCGCGCACATCGGGGGCTCTCGAAGGGATGATCTCCTCCGGGCTCCACCGCTCTCTTGACCCGATCCCGACGGGGGTCAGGAAGCGTCGGTCAAGGGCGCCATGAGTAGCGTCGTAACGTGGATGCTGCTCCCGCTGCTACCTGTCGGCGCATCGGCATCGGAAGCAGTGCTCTGCCCTTCGTCACCCATTGTCCCATTTACTTGTTTGCCGTTTTCCCAGTTTGCCGTTCGCCTAGGCGAAGAAGAGGGAGGAAATGCAAGGGTCTCTTTGCACCTCCGTGTAGGCTTGCATGCTTTTGGAACCTCGGCCTTCATAATAGGTGTGGTCAGCTGCCGATGCATTTAGAATAATTCAGTTCAAAATGCATGAATTTCGAACAGGACCACGTTGAACTTCGATAAAAGCTATAATTTGAAAAAAGCGATTTCGTTATAACGAGGGATTACTGTATTGCAAAGGTAACATCCCATAGCTAATCTTATTGTGGTGCTAAATGTTTTTTAATACAGGGCGAAACAGAACAAAAAAAATTTCAGCCTTTCCACTCTGGTGAAGAAGGAAGACCAGCGAAACTGTACTATGATGGGACGACCTCAAGCACGACTTCTTGGACGACCTCAAGGACGACGCCTAAAGGACCACGTCTAGGACGATCTCAAGGACGATGTCTAGGACGACCTCAAGGACAATTTCTAGGACGACCTCAGGGACGACGTCTAGGATGACCTCAAGGACGATGCCTAGGACGACATCAGGGACGAAGTCTAGGAAGACCTCAAGGACAAACTCAAGGACGACCTCAAAGACGACTTCTAGGACAGCCTGTAAGACAACCTCAAGGACGACTTCTAGGACGATCTCAAGGATGACTTCTAGGACGACCTCAAGGACAACCTCTCGAACAACCTCAAGGACGACCTCAAGGACGACTTCTAGGATGACCTTAAGGACGACGCCTAGAGAAGTTCAGCCTTTCCACTCTGGTGAAAACCAGAGAGAAAAGGCTAGAAAGGTTGCCGCCATCTATGAGCGAGGCCGGCAAGCCGGTTGTCGCTGTCGCTCATAGATCGCGGTAGCTGTCCAGAGTTTTGTGTCGACATTTCTTTGCGGGGCACACGATCCTTGGGAAACTAGCCCTTAACAGCTGCGCTGTAAAACAGCAGCATGCAGTAGTAGTACAAAGGAATGTGACATCCATGGTTCACTGTCACTATTAGACCACTTGTTCTCATTCACTCAGCTCTAGTTCTTTCCATGTGCACCTAGACTTTTGGGAATCAATGACTTCTAGACAAAACACCTAGGTGAGATATATATATAAGCCATACAGCAGCATTTTGGAGTTTCACATACTGGATAAGGCTAAGAAAAGTGTTTCTAGTAATGAAAATGGCCTAATGATGAATTTCATGCATGATACACTTTAAGGCAGGTGCTCGTATGAGCTAAGACCGTTTACTACCATGAAATACTGAGCAAGTGCCCAACCAAAAGCTAAACATAATCATGAAAACAATGGGGATGGGCACTTGTTAGGTCCAAGACCAGAAAAGCAGAGGGGGCACATGGCAGGGTAGGCCCTTGGTTTATCCAACGGAACGGTATAAGAGCAGTCTGGTGGAACCCTCCCATTTTGAAAACAGCCACACGGCTCACGCCAAGCCTGCTTTGCACCGGCGCTCTTGCGTCAAGCTTCACTGCTTTGTACCGGCGCACCCGGGTAAAGCTTCACTGCCTTGCACCAGCTTCCTGGAGAAGCTGCTGACGCAGATGAACACCTTGGTTCGCTTCGTAGGCTCAGAAGTTTTATGGGGTGGGCACTTGACACATTCTTTGCATATAGTATTTTAGTGTCTCAAAAGTAAGGGCGAGTGCATGCTCTGTATCTTACAGTACACATTTTCAAACTGTACGTGCCAGAATTCAAATTCCCTTGGTGTCTTAGATTTATCCAGCTCCATAGGACTAGAGTGCCTAGTCAAGTGTCTTTACAGCCCTGACAAACTTCAGGTGCTGGTGCTTATAGCAAAAACCTCCTGCCTTCCCTTTTCCTGCTGCATGCAGTGCTGTATTTCTATTTTGTGAGATCAGCAAAGCTTATAAATCTGTGGTTGAAATATGGGGAGGCAGTCTCTGATAACAGCTATGAGCTTCTTGAATCCAAATATATGACAACACCTGGGTAAAACAATGGATCACTCACCATGAAACAAGCAAGTGGACCCCGATGTTTCCAGTAACGCCTGATGGCCTCCCTTATCTCACTTGGTGTTATACTCTCCGTTTCAGCAAGGGTGCCCCCAGTACTTGATTCAGCCTAGTTGAAATAGAAGAAAACATGATATAGTATTACAACAAAAAGTGCAATCTATTTAACAGAAAGGCAGCATTGAGAAAAACCAAAACAAGAATGAAGCGGGAAAGAACAACAAACAAATCTCGTATCGTAACGAGTTGTCTCTCACTCTGTACAGTCAAACCCATTTATAATGAATTGCATTAAGCACCTAGTTTCGTTTGACATATGCAGTAATTCTATACAGAATATAAAAAAACTTTTATGATACATTTTTTATATAAAATATTTTGTCATGAAACAAAAATACACAAAAACATGCAACTAAAAACACCGTCACATTGAGGAAACAGTTGGACAACTCTGTCCATCAACACGAGAAAAACATGTTTTCGGCAACCCTGTCACATTGGGGAAACATGAACTGTCTGAAAAATATGTTTTTGCCGCCCGGCAACCGTGTTCGCCGGTTTGTTGTCTGACAGTCAGGGAACACCCTGTCACACCACGCTAATGGCAAGGCCAACAAAAGGAACACTTCACCATCTTGATTGTTTACCTTCGTTCATGTGCGGTACGGCGGCTATGGAAATGTGACTCTACAACGTGCTAGTGCATTCAAAGGACCAGAAATTACCATGGAACGACATCAACCAGTGACTGTGATCAGAAAACTTAACAGGGAGAGTATTTTCCGCATTTTAAATTATCAAAATGTTTTTCATTTGCTGACGAAGCAACTAGCCCTAACCAAAGTAGCTGAGATTGCTGATTTGTTCAAGATTTACACAACTGTATGAAGTGTTTCTGTCCGGTTCTTTCTCTCACGCAATTCCTATTTCTAGCGTAAAATTCAGTTAGCGCCGGCAGTACCCCAAAGTGTCTTTTGTAGCGTGGTGTTGAGCTGAACTGACAGTGCTTAAGAACTGCGACACCGACACATTCAACCTTCATAAGAATCGGTGGAATAAATACTTTTCAACGCTGCCTATTTGCCTTTACCACCTGCTATCTGATTGCTTCATTCCCCAAAAACATCCTGGGGATTTTTGAAACAATTCAGGTGTCTGGCAGCGGCTGTTTTCAAGTTCCAAGCATCAACAATCATGATCAGAGCAGTCGTTTTCATGCTTTGATTTTTTAATCGCTCATTTTCGTGAATGTTTATTCAATTTTAGCGACGGGTGAGTAGACATGTCATTTTATTTCACTAGTAGTAATGTGAGCTGGTCTCTTGGCAGTTCTAATCTTAACAACCAACTGAATGTTCACAATCGTAGCTGTGAGAATTTCGACAATCACTTTCCGTAATTATGAAGTAAAAACATTAATCAAACTATTTAAGCTGTACGCCAACCTTCATTATTGTTAAATAGCATTCTCAAGGCCTTCATTTGAGTAAGCTCTTAAAAAAAACACGTAATTGACAGGGAACGCCATCGAAGCTATCTGCGTTGTTGTGTCGACAGCACAAAATTCACTCATCCACCGATCTGGGCAACACGTGTCGTCCAACACCAGTTGCTGCTGCTTTTGTAGCCAAAAGCTGTCACACAGAGGCAACACTGCTGCTGTCACTTGTATTGTGCTGATGTTCCCGCGATCAGGGATAAAACTGGGCAAAGCAGCTTTGGAGCAATCTTAGGAGCAGAAAAAACTACAGTTTGAAGTAGGCTGGGGGCAGCAAAAACGAGGTATTGGAGCAAGTTGGGAGCAGCATACGAGTATTAAGAATGTTAAAGTAGAGGCTAAATGACACCTGGTCTTCAAAACTCAAGGAAATATGGCATGTAAATATAACTCCATGTGAACAGTACTTTCAATACATTTTATTTGAAACGTTTTTCGCAAAATTACATGAAAATTAGACAAAACATATAAAGCAACACTGCACAACAGTGTGACGCGTGATGGAATAGGTAGAAATAGCCTTCAGCTCGTACCTTGCTCCATCACTGTTCGCACGCCTTTCTTATGTTCCCAAGTTTTCTGCACAGGGCCTTGGGGCAGGCCAACGCAGGCTGCGGGCTTGCAATACACCTTTCCATAAAAGCGTATTAGGGTGCGTTCATTGCTGTGTTTGTGCGTTTTGCACGTGCAGTTTCTGGCTGGCCGCAATCGAGAGCGAGCGCTGGCTGGACTGTGATTTTCCACGTGTGGACTGTGATTTTTGTAAACAGTGGAAGCGTCTAATCGCGACTCCAGCGACCAATAGGGGGCGCCACCACCAAACAAACATGGCGGCTGGGTACGGGTCGGGTCGGCTCGGCCAGGCCGCCTGAACGGGTGGCGCATTCAATTTAACAGATTTTTTTTTTTTTTTGTTTAATGCCCTATTTTATAGGTATTTGAATTGCGATGGTTAAGTGTAGCCAGGCACATAAACTTGCAGAGCATAGTTTTGTTTTCCCGGTGATTTTTGTTCTTTTCAAGTCAAACTTTTGTTTTGGAGATTTCCTTCAAAATTGAAACTATGGGCTCCGGAGAAACGGTAATAGACTCTAATAAGTTTTCATCAGCTAAGTAAAGCGGCGATGACTACAGAATTGTTCCACCGAGACTAATCTTCAGCTGACTCGCGACTTATCTGTCCGCGAAATCGAGCTTTTGTACATATCCGCGTTTAAGAAACAGCTCCAGTCGTAGATCTGCTCGGTCACCAACACAGGCTGCAGGAAAATTACGAAAATTAAGCAAGCGCTTCTTGAGCCAAGGGGCATGTTAACCCGCTGGCACCCCACTAAGCAGCTGATACTCGCATTTCAATTCAGGTTTAGTAGCAATTGAGAAGTCATTTTGACGAATATGCGGGTTATGTATTATATTACGTACTATGTCCCACTAAAGCGATATTAGTATAGTCTTCGGGTTGAAATATGAGCTTAGTTGTCTAGCCATTAGGTGAACTGCTCAGTAAAAGAACATTTGACAGACGAGAGAGATACTAATTAAACTCAGCCAAATGGTTCTAGCCGGTAGCACGGAGACAAATGCGGACAAATGTGGACAAATTGAAGAGAGTCTTCATCACAGATTCACGCAGAACCTCTCTGCATTGAACTTGACTTCGAACCCTGAACGGAGAAAATGAGTATTTTTTGTGGTCGGACAACCTGAGCAATGTAACTCATATTGCTGCTAGCTTTGAGGGGGTATAATATAAATATTGGAGGTGCGATAGATCACAATGCTGGAACAGCTTCTAACTTTGCGAGACGCGTCCCCCCCGTTTTGAAAGCAGACAATTTTGCTCATGAATCGTATGCAGTGAGCAGGTTTTCTGGAATCAAGTAATTGAGAAATCAGCCCAGTTCCTTCGGTGTGGTCCAGAGGCTTTTTCGGCGAAAAGCAGCCAAGATGAATAGCCAACACACTGACCGGCGTTGGTGGCTCAATCTTGAAGCTAATCGAACACAACCAAACTCAAGAAAAGAAGCTATCGAACCTTCCCTTCACTTAACTGCAGCATTGGTGTTCCCTCCAGTGAAAAACCTCGTCTGTCGTCCTCAGTCCACTGTTCTAAAATCCTTATAAAGAAACCACTTATCAGTTACCAAGTAGTCGTCACTTTGAATGTGATTCGGGACAGACAAGAAAGCCAAACATTTTTCCGTAATTCCTCCCCATCCAAGAAATCAAAAGCATGCGACCGTGCGTTGTGGAGTAAACGGGCTTTCAAACACGTGATGGAAGAAAACAATCTACTGAGGCTTCACCACACTAATGAACACTCGGGTAAACTTAAGAAATATTCGGACCTTCATCAAATTACATTGTTCGCCACCGCACCGACAACACGTGTCCGCGAAAGCCGCCAGAGACGCGGAAAGGCGCAAAGCGACCTGTTCTGGCTGGTTCCCGGTTTTCCCACTTGGTGGCGTCCGTTTTGCTGGAGTCGCGAATAGTCACGTCTATGGTCACGTCGACACAACTTAAATACTAGATTTGAGTTTATCACAATATGGCGGTGCTGTTTTCTCCGCTATTCAGATAAAGTGACTCCAGCACTCCAGAAAAGCACAGAGCAACGGCAGCAGACGCAGCCAATGCTACAAGCGCCAGCACGTGGCCTTGGACAGTGCTTGCGCTTCACGAGCGTGTGTTCTTGGCAGGGACGCTGAAAGTCCAGAGCTCGCACTTGCAGCGTCATCTGCGTACGGACTTAGACGAAGCAGAGCGACAGCAAATGGCTTCAAAGAGGTCTGTAGCGGAAGCATTGCAATGCGGGATGCTTTAACAACTGTTTTAAGCTGAAACGAAGTATAACCGTGGCAGCAACCTTCGAATACAGAGATTCGGATTGGAATCCACCGGCGTTCCCTTTGGGCCGGACGTTCTGGTGTCAATGTTGCCAACAAAAACTGTGAGACGACTAATGTCAACGAGGCTCGTTTATAATTTCAGTTTGGGCGCCACCTTGGTGCCATTTCATCCTTATTTATACTTTTGTATCAGTCTGGCGCATGAAAAGTCGTTAGGCACACAATGGCGCAACTGGTGCAGCAGTTCAATCCCTCCGAGATGTGACAGGCTTGTAAAGGAACAGGGTGATCGAGAACGAAACTGACCAACTGTTGATAATGAACATGTGTTTCCATCGCTGCTGTGTTTCCTCAATGTACTAGGGCCTTTACTACTCCAGAAATTCACTTATTTACAATTAGACTACGCAGAGTGAGCAGTGATTTTCACCTGCACCTTACTGTTGCCAGCATCAACAACAGCATTCACAGTGTGCAACACAACTTGCACAAGTTCCAGTCTGGCCTCCCTCCCTCCCTCCCTCCCTCCCTCCCTCCCTCCCTCCCTGCCTCCTCCTCCTCCTCCTCCTCCTCCTCCTCCTCCTCCTCCTCCTCCTCCTCCTCCTCCCTCCCCCCCCCCCCTTCGACGACAGAGCAGTAGACAAAGCACGTCCACCACTTGATATTTTCCTCATGAAGCGTCAGACAAGGCACAGATTCGTCTTCAGGATACCCTGCTTTTGTGCAGACATCAGTAGCAGCGACTGCTGTCACAT